GATAATTTGACTTCTTCCTTTTTTGTACATACCCCTTTTCATTCTTTCGTCTGACTGGTGTGACTAATATTTTGAGAATTATACTGAACAGGAGTGGTGATGGTGGACATCCCTGCCATTTTCCTGAAAAGGCTTTCAACTTCTCTCCATTTAATATGATGTTGGTCACTGGTTTGTCCTAAGTGGCTTTTATCAATTTGAGGTAAGGTCCTGTATCTATTTTCTTCAGGGTTTTCTATCGTGGTATTGGATTTTGTCAAAGGCTTTTTCTATGTCAACTGAGACGATCATGTGGTTTGTGTCCTTGCTTATTTATGTAGTGTATTATATTTACTGACTCGTGTATGTTGAACCATCCCTGCATTCCTTGGGTAAATTCTGATTGATCATGATGTATGACCTTTTGTTGCATTCTATTTGCTAATATCTTCTTGAAGATTTTGGTGTCTATGTTCACTAAAGAGATTGGCCTGTAGTTCTCTTTTTTGGGGGTTGTGTCCTTGTCTGGTTTTAGAATCAGGTTAGTGATAGCTCTTAGGAATGACTTTCAGAGTACTCTTTCCTGTTCACCTTCATTTAAAAGTTTGAGGATACGGACATTAGATCTTTCTAAAGTTCTTATAGAATTCAGCAGTGAATCCATTAGGACCTGTTATTTTTATAGTTAATAGGTTATTATTTCTTCAATTTCATTGCCTGATAATGGATTAAGGAATTAAGATTGAGAGTATTGCTCATTTCCAAATTTGCCTAATTTCTGTGATTTCTTTTGCTTTTGATTTGTTGTTTCATTGCACCATGATCTGACAATACGTACAATTTCAATTATTTTTGCATTTACTTAAGCTTACTTTATGATCCAGCATTTGGTCTATTTTGGAGAAAGTCTCATGTGCTGCTGAGAAAAATGTGTATTCTATTGTTGGATGGAATTCTCTGTAGTATCCTTTAAGCCTATTTGTTCAAAGGCATGGTTGAACTCTAATATTTCATTATTGATTTTCTTTTGTCTAGATGATGTTTATTTGTAACAGTGAGGTATTGAGATCCTCCATTATAACTTTGTTGATCTGATTTTTTATGTCCGGTAGCATTTGTTTAATGAAGTTGAGGGTGCTGGTGTTTGGTGCATATATAATTGTTATCTCTTCCTGCTGAATTGCTCCTTTAACCAACATGTAGTGACATTCTTTGTCTCTTCTGATAATTTTGGCTTGAAATTCACAGTGTATGAAATTAGAATAGTTACTCCTGCTTTTTTTGGGGGGGTTCCTGTTGCATGGAATATTGTTTTCCATCCTTGATTTTTAATCTGTGAATCTTTTTTTTTTAATTAAATGTGTTTCTTGTATACTGCATATCAGTGGTTTCTGTTTATTGATCCATTCTGCCACTCTGTATTTTTGACTGGGAATTGACACCATTTACACTGGAAGTTATTACTGAACATATTGACTTATCCTCATCACTGCATTACTTTCTTGTTGCTGATTTCCTCCCACCCCCAACCCCCTTCTGTTTAACTGCTCACTCTGCCTGGTGTATTCATTCTGTTAGACTGTGTGTGTTTCTGTTAGGTTTTCTGACATTGTTGGTTTCATTCCTCTTTAAAGGATATCCTTGAGAATTTTTTTGGAGTGTTGGTTTGGTGGTCATGAATTTCTTAAGGTGCTCTTTGTATTGGAAATACCTTATTTCTCCATCAAGTTTGAAGGGAAGTTATACGGGACCTATGTCTGGGTTAAGGTTATCTTTTAGGGCTTGAAACACTTCACCTCTCTCTCTGTTGAAAAATCTGCTGTAATTCTGATGGGTTTACCTTTATCAGTGATTCATTGCTTTTCTCTATTTTTAGGCTTCTGTCTTTGTGTTGGACTTCTGGTATTTTGACTATCATGTGATGTGGAGGGGTTTTCTTTTGACTGGCTATTTGGAATCCTATATGCATCACTGAATTGTATGTTTCTTTCCTTATATTTCAGATGTTTTCTATTATTTCTATAAAAGGGTTTTTTATACCATTTGTACTGTCTGATTTTTCACTTATTCCAATGAATCCTAGTCTTCTTTGTGTAATCTAGCAGCTGTTGGATCCATTTTCATGTTCTCTTGAAGTTTTTACAGTATCTCTGAGTAACTGGTCTTTGAAAGCATTTTTATATTCTAATTCTTTTTTTGGTGCCAAAAAATATATATACACACACATATATATGTATTTGATTGTAAGTAACTTGTTCTGTGAGTGTTCTACAAGACAAGCAAACATTTCTAAAACATTTTAACTTGATAAGTGAGTGATGTCTTGAAAAAAATGAATAGTATGTAATGCTGATTGTCACATGATCACAACTGAATAGGTCTTCTCTCTCTCTTGCTGTGGGATTGTGAGTGACTATCTCCCAGCAGTATGTAATGCCGGTTGTGGCTGTGTGGCTTTTGCTTTCTGCCCTCTTGATGCCCCAGAATTGAGTTTGGGGAAATTGGGAGTTGGGGGAGGTATTTTGTTGCCTTGTCTTCTCAAGTTTCTAAACAGAGGAGGAAGAAAAAGATAACAAGGAAGAAAGGCAAAGGGAATTCCTCAGACCCCAATAAAGCAGTGAAGAAGAAAGAAGGAGGGAGGGAGGGAGGGAAGGACAGAGAGAGATCAAAAACAGGAGAAAATTTTTTCTATTAAAAATTTCTAAAAATTTTTTGAATGAGTGACTTCCTTCCTGGATTGGCAGTTTTGGAGTCCAGCAATTCTAGCCTTACAGCCTGCAGGTTTATGAGCTGTTCTCTCACCATTCCAGAGGTCCCTGCTTACCCCAAGGTGTTGCAGTTTCCAAGCTGAGACATGTCTTCACTGACACCAGTAGCTAAGGAATGCAATCAGACCCAAGATCAGTGCTGAATGCAGGCAGTAGGGCAAGGGCTCAAGTACCCATTGCTGGCACTTTCAGACCCAGTGCAACTCAAGCTGGGCCTTACCTGCCACTATAAGGAGCGGGGCTCACATCCTTCCTAGCCCAAGCTCAAACTCCTTAGGGTAGCAAAGGTGAAACTATGGCACAAGTACTGCAGTGGGCATGCAGAACCCTCTCTGTCAGCACACAAGGCAAGTTGCCTCAGCATTACCCCAGCATCCAAGCATCAGTTAACAGCACACATGGGGTAGTGTTGGTACTTAGCAATAAATAAGTGGGTTTGGGGTTACGGTTTGGGCACTTGGTCTCTAAAAGGCTCACCATCACTGACTTAGGGGGTCTTTTTCCAGCCTGCTCCGACTGTGGCCATCTCATGCGGTTGTCTCTCACCCAGTCACTGTGGGAAGGCAATACTGGGGGCTCTGAAGTGAATCCCTTCCCCAGCTGTTGAGAGAGTCCCAGATTCAAACAATCTCTTCCCAGAATGATGCCCAACCAAGCACTCTGGCAAAATGGCAGGCACCTGCACTGGGACCCCTCTCTAGCTGTTGCCTGCTGTGTGGAAGGAATCCCCTTGGAGCACAACCCCTATGCTGTCACTATAGATCACAAGAATTGCAGGCTTCCCCAGAGGCTGTGTCACCTGCCCAGTCCACCACTACTGCTTCTCCCTGGAGCCCTTGGAACTCATACCGCTTCTCGAGCCAGGCTCCCCACTCTGTGCTGCAAGTACGAGAGGTGGGGAGACTCTAGACAAGTGGTGGCAAACCTATGACATGTGTATTGTTTTTCTTTTAAAACAAAAGATGTTAATATGTGAGTTGTTGTTTTCTAAACTAAAACCTGGGTAGTTTTCAGGTTTAATTGCAGTGCTGACACTCTGTGATAACTAAGTGGGTTTTGGTTGCAGTTTGGGCATTTTTCTCTAAAAGGTTCACCAGGAATGGTCTAGACTGTTCTCTATCTTTCTCTGCGTTGTGGTCTGTCTCTCAAACTTCTCTGTAGCTTCTAATTTTTCTGTCAGTTCCTTCCAGATTTCTGGCAATCTACTTTCCTTTCTTTCTAACCCAAGTTGTTACTTTCGGTATTGGATTCCAGATCTCAGACAGGTTAAGTTTTGGTATCACTCTGCCATCTTCTTTTCTACAGTTTTTAAGTACTGCTTTATTTTGCATTATTGAGGAATGAACCCAAGGCTTTCACACTAAGCTATATACCCACCCACCCGCCCTTTGAGATGGGATCTCACTAAATTGCACAGGCTGGGCTTGAACTTTTGATCCTCCTGCCTCAGCCTCCCTGAGTGCTGGGATTGGAAGTGTGCACCATCATGCCCAGTTTAAGGTACAATTTAAATATTCACCTATCTTTATCTCTTCTACACTACATCACTTCCAGTCCCCTTTGGGTCTCCAGGGGGCAACTCCAGATGGTGCTGATGTGTCTGGAGACCCTGAAAAGGTGAGAGGAAAGGAGTGGGGCTGAAGAGCAAAGGTCACACGACATAACCGGCTACTGTGCCAGCTCTCCTGGTTCATCTTCATCTGGCCATGTTTCCTCTTCCTACTCCCTTCCTGGGTGCCTGAGGCCAGTGTGAAGACTACCATACATCCCTGGGAAAGCAGATGTACCATACACGCTCACAACTTGCAACTGGGCCCAGAATTCATGCCTGAGTGTCACTCAACCCCCAATCTTCTGGCCATCCTCGCCCCGATGGGCAGCAACGGAACCAGTAACTAAGTACTTGCTGTGCCTCAGGTCATTTCCTATGGTCCTCACGTGGTCTAACACATCCACTATTTGCTTCAGCCCTGGATCACCTTCCTTTTGTAGAGGAAATGGAAGAGAGGGAAGTTAGATTTGTCTTGGCCACAGGGAGACAGGGACAGAGAAGGGCTGGATCCTGGAGCCACTGAGCTTGCTCCCTCAGCCACTGCTCCGCCTGTCCTGCGGGGAGCTGGACTGGATGCTAGAGTTTCCGGGAAGGCTTCCCACAAACCCCACGGGGCTCATAGACCCAAGAGGACAGAATCCGTCACCTGGATCAGCACCCTTCACATAGCAAACACAGACCTGGAGACAAAGGACTGCCATTTCCTTCTGACACTTTATTGTTTACAAAACAAATGGATTTGACGGGATAGGAACACAATCATTATGCTGACAGTAGCAAATACAAAAGGAAAGAAAGGCTAGCTTTCAAATCTTTAAAAAATCACTGTGTGAAAATGCTGCTCAATTCTGAGCCAACAATGACACATTGGAAATGTTTCAATTTAGTGACTGTCCCAAGTCCTCCTCATTCCTAAGTTCATTTCTACATTTTAAATCACACAACCCAACATCACTGACATTTGAGGAAGTCAGAATGTCCAGCCAGGCACAGGTACAAGAGATGTAGGTCTTCTGAGCTGTGCCCAGCAGGGAGCAAGCTCTAGAGAAATGTCACTCAATAATGTGGCTTTGTTTTTACTGTTGTCCTGTAGTATGAGGATCAGATCCAGGAAAGAGGTCACTGACTGGCTGTTCCTGGCAGCCATCCTGGAGTTTCTACGTGGAAAAGGTCTCTGAAAGTCAACACAGGGCTGCTTACAGCCCAGGAGCCTCCCCCAACACGGTGCCTCTGCTATCCTGAGGGGTAATGTGAGGTGAGGTAGTTGCCATGGGGAGAAGAACTGTGATGTCCTTATCAACTTCAGTCCCGCCAGTCTTCAGGCCCCACTGCCTCTGCTCCAGAGCATCAAGAGGAGACAGCAGGGCTAAGGAGCCAAGGTCTGTGTGAAGCTTCCACTGGGAAGAGGTGGTGGTTGTGGAGATCCAGGAAAACAACAGGGATGATCTCCGGAACAAAGCAGGCCTCAGCCAGAAGTCAACTGCAGGCTATTGGAACCTACGGCCCCTGCTGGGCCACAGAGTAACACATTCAAATCATTCATGAGTCTTGAAGGACACGGCACTTTCTGCAAGCTGCTAGAAGAAGATGGCGTGCCAAGATCTCAGGCACCTCTACTATGAACTGGCTTTGCCAACCGTGGCTCGAGGCTGGGAGCAAATCTGCTGTGACTTTACTCTGTGTGATAAGATCGGTGATTTTGTTTTGTGAGAGAGGAAACTGCCTCAATAAAAATAAGTTAATAATTAAAACCTTAAAGTGCTACCCAGAATTTTCCAGAAGGGAGGAAGTGGAGTCCCGGGTGAGCAAAGTTCCACCATTTCACATGTGGTTCTCTGGGCAGTGCAGGCAGATGTGTTCCCACAAGCCACCCTCACTGTGCCCGCATCCTGCAGTGTAAACATTACCTTCCAAGGTCAGCAGGATGCAAGGAGCGCCCAAGGCTCCCAGAGGAGCACAAAGAGGGATGGCCTGGAGTCCCTAGTGGGCAGGCACACCTCACACTCATTGCTGTTCCCAGTGCAGGGCACAGTGCCTAACATCCCAGGCACTCCCGAAATATTTACTGAACAGGAACTTATGGCAAGTCAGGAAACAGAGCTTAGACAGAAGAGGAGCCGGGCAGAATTCAAGGCCAGCCCCCTACCAAACTAGTACAGGTTCAGTCTCCACCACCAGGTGGCAGTGCCGAGAGGCCCAGGCAGAGGAGCCCTGAGGGGCTGTGCTGGACCAGGGGACTTGCCCTGTCCCAGCTCCAGGACATCACACCTTCCATGACACTTCCATCTGCTTCATATGCCCTGAGACTGAATCCTCATTCTGGAAATCTGTCAGCCACGCACACACTTTGTAGTTACAAAAAGAACACGACGAAAGTGCAGTCCTCTGGTTTTTATAAAAGCGCAGTCCTGATGCAGTGAAGACTATCTCAGCCGTGCCCATCGTCGGAATGCCTTAATTTAAATGAATTCTATCCCTTCGTACTTCACACTTCCGATCTTGGTCTCGGGCAGCAGGAAGCGCCCGTCTAATGTGAAGGCCATGACATAGGTGGCCACCCTGCCGTTGTCCTCCTCAGACTTGAGAGCCACAATGATCTGGTCATCAGTGTTGGGGATGAACTTAAAGGACGAGAAGCCGTGTGTGGGGACCACCTTGCCCACATGGCCGACGGAGATGTCCCCGAAGTCCTGGGCAGCGCTCAGGAGGAGGTTGGTGCCCTTGCGCTCGTCGTCCCTTTCACTGTACCGCTCATGGCTGGCGCGGCGCGGCAGGAAGAACCAGCGCTGCAGGGTGTCGCTCCAGCAGGCCGATTCGTGGATGAGGTAGCCTGGGACACAGGATACAGCAGTCACTGCATACACCGGACAGACCGCCTGACCCTTCATCTCCAGGGCCACCCCTCTCATGACCAAGTATGCAGAGCAGAGCACGGCCTGGGGGACAGTTGTCTGCCCTCTGGACCTCAGCCTCTCAGAGGGCTTTCAATCTGTTGCTGCTCTCAGCTCCACTGGGTGACGGGCAAGCACACAGACTAGGGGACACTGCATCGAGTCTTCCGGTCCACGACCCCCACAGGCTGTCCCCAGAGAGGGCCACAGCCTTTACCAGGAGTCCCGTGTTACTGTTTCCTAGGTGCTAATCAAGAGACACAGGAAAGAGAGAGTCCAGGGATTGGACAGAATAAACAGGAGTCTGATTTGTGGAAAGATAAACCAGGTTGGGGAAGCTGCAGGAGGCACCATTCCTCTCCCTCTCTGGGACTAAGCTCTCTGCTCAGACACAACTTTGGGACTCCTGGGAAGTGATGAGGAAGGTGGGCTGCTCTGTGTGCTGTGGAGCAGTGGCCTGAGGGGTCCAGAGGCCACCTGTCAGGGTCAGTGGCAAGAAAGAGAAAATGGCTCCCCAGAATCCACTGGCCTGAGGGTGCAAAATCATCAACACTGAGCAAGATATGATACCACTGTGCTCAGGGAGCACAGAGAGTGCACAGGTCCAGAGTGACCCACTGCCGGCTGGACACCCACACAGCCCCTGGGCTGGGTCTGAGCTGGCCTTACCTGGTGGTCGGATCCCAGCAGCAGCCCGCAGAGCATTGTAGCTGGACACCCAGTTCTCATGGTCCACGCTGCCCTTGTGGCTTATCACCTTCACCCACTCAGGGTTCTCGTTCACCACCTCCCCAGTGGCCGTGGTCCACTCTTTGCCCAGGCTGCCCACATATAGCCGCTCGTCCTTCACTGCCAGCCACTCAGCTTTGAAGCCTGGGGCAATAAGAGGAGGGCATGCCTGAGATGCCACCACCACTCCATGGCCAGGCATGACTGGGGCCCTGGTGGTCCAGCAGCCTTGCACATCAGAAGTTCCTGCTCTTGAACTTCACCGGAACAAAGGACAAGAGGCAGGGGCAAGAGCCTGTACAGAGCCCCACATGCAGGGTCCCTGTCAGCAGCCACCTCCCTTCTGTTTTCTTCCTCTCTCGGGCCTTCAAAGGACATTCTGTTTCACCCTGGCAACTCATCTAGGACCTGCTATGCTGTGGCTCCACCCCTGCCTCAGTTTCCAGGGGCTGATGCTGCTCTCCTAAACCTCCTTTGGCCTCTGACCCCTCCTGGTGATTGACCCCACCCCAGGATGGTTCTCCAGTGCCAGAAGAGCGAGAGAGGACCTGGTCTGCAGGTTCATCCAGGACATCGCAGGTCGCATAGGATGTGCAGCTGTCCTGCAGCTGTACCTGTTACCTCCCTTTGGGTCAATGGATGACAAGGAGGGCTTGCTGTTGGTTGGGGAACTGCTTTCATTTCAGTGTGTTTATTCAAGGGCTAGATTTGTTCTCACTGACTTATGTAACATGGGCTAATTTTGCAGGCAAAAGCACAGCTCTGGTCAGTGGGAGCCTCGGCATATTCCTACCCATCCTAACAACCCAAGGTCTGACTTGTGCTTGTGTTCCCAGATACCCTGCAAACTTCTTGGCCCCCAAGAAGCTGGTACTGCAGTCCTTCCCTGATTAAGACAGCAGATGCTGGGACACTTCCTCACAGTTAGCTCTGTGCTAGCTCTCTGAGCTGCTTTGGCCCCAGTGACCTTGGCAGCCTCCAGAGCCATTTCCGAGATAAGATGCTTCATTTACTGGAGCTCTACTACCTTTCTGGATGACCCAACCCCAGGCCAATTCCAGAGACCTTGCTGTCCCTTTCTTCCAGCCAAGGGGGAAGAACAGAACTGCAGCAGGGTGGTAAAGACACTGAAGGACACAAGGCAAGAAACGGTGACCAACATTCTATGTGGCGATCTGGTCCCTGCCAGCAGCCCCAGCCTTGGACAAACATAGGAGAGGTTTTATCTTTGGGATGATGGGGCAGGCGGGGCTACCAAGGTCCTGTTAATACAGTTCCACCTCTGGCCTAGAAAGCCTGCACTGGTAACTGGTTCTCTACAAGGAGCAGCTCAGACAAACACAACATTGCGTCAGTCTTCTGCCGATGCCCTTTATGCCTCACAGGCCACTTCCCATGTGAGGGCTCTGGCAGCTCTCCCTGCCTGCCTTGAGGAAGCAGTAACTTACTGGGTAAACACTGGGGCTAGCCAGATTCTGCTTACATGCAGACCCTTCCTGCAGGAGCAGGTGGGCAGGTCAGACAGCAGTGGACCTGTGCTGCCAACACACTGAGGTTAAAATCTCAGCTCAAACCGAAAACCTGAGACAGGAGACTTTCGAGGTGCAGTGCCTGAGACACCACAGAAGCCACGACAAGGGACAGGGAAGGAAAAGCACAGTGTCCACAGCCCTAAAACTTATCTTGGAAGGAACTCCCCGTGTGGTGGAGTTCCAGTCTAGAAATTACTTTGTGTGACAGTACTGCTTAAGGCTTAAGGTGGGGTGCAGTCAGAGCAGAAGCGAGAGTCCCCACCCTCTGGACTACTTTTCAGCTATGAACCAAACCACAGCCAGCTGGCCCTGCAGCCCCCAGCATCTGGCCAAAGTCCCACCCAAGCAGCTCCATTTACCCTTCTCCACGGTTCCATCGCCGTCAGACAGAATCACCCAGGGCACAGCCTTGGTGCCTTCGATCTGGTAGATAACTCCTGTCCGGTCATCCACGGAGTAGAGTTTCCCATTGAACACAACCAGATCAGACAGCTCCATGCCCCTCCCCTTTTCTGCCAGGTGCGATTCCAGGACAGTGTGGTCTTTGTCCCATTCCACAGACACCTTGTCCCCACTATCTGACAGGGTCAGATAGCCCTTCTTCAGGTAACTGAACCAGGTGTTTTCCTCCTGGGCTCTGGACTCCGTGTCCAGGTCAGCAATGACGGCAATCCGGTATCGAATCCCACCCGGTGTCCTCTGGGGGGTCGACAGGGGGTACGTGTCATTGTATTGGCTGGCAGGCGCCTGGCTGAGCCTCCAGTTGTGCACATTGTGAGTGGGGGACCTGCCCGGGGCTGGACGGTGGGAGTAGAACAGCCAGAGGAGGGCAACACCTACACAGGACGTGAGGATCACCTTCCAGCGGGGGCGGAAGCGGGGGTCTGCAGCCTTGGTCATGGACGCGAGCACAGGAAGGCCCCCCACACTTATCCGGAGGGAGTGCATAGGCTCATTCCATTCCAGGTGGTTGGAGGGCTGGACGGGCATCAGACTGAGTGTCGGGTGGGACCTGCATGCAGGGAGAGAGGAGAGCGGTCAGCCTGCGGCCACTGCTTCTTCGCTGCCTGAACTGCATGGGCTGGAATCTGAATCCGGACCTGTCCAGGAGAAACAGTATTCCATTACTCCCATGGTGTGCTTACATCCTGACTCCAGCAGTATCTTTGTTTACTTTTATTCAGCAACATGTGAAGTCTTCCAAAGCAAAATTATCCCACCTTCCTGTCCCAGCTGGCCAGAAGGAAAGCTGAGTACAAGAGGTTTCGTGTGGGCTGGTGCCTCACAGTCACTGTAAAGGGAGGCAAGCAGGGGAGTCAGGGTGGTGCAGTAGGAGGCGGGTAATGGGGGGTGCATAGGACTGAACAGGGCTCAACCAGTCCCGCGACCGGCCCTCCCTGATGTCACTGTCACCACATCACACACTTGATTTGTTCATTTTACCCTGGCTCCCAGACCATGCCTAGCACAGAGCAGATGAAGGCTCATTAGGTGACTGAGTCTCTATTTGCTGGGTTAGGTTTCTGTAATATTTAAATATGAAATAAATCTGAGCCAGAAACACTTTTCTGTTGGTTTTGGCAGGACCTGTCTCTGGCGCCCTTCTACTAAGGCAAACTACAGCAGGGACCAAGGTCCCAGCTGTGTGTGCTACCTAGAGCATACTGTGTCTGCACACAGGCTCAAAAGGCCCACGGGGAGAGCCACATGGCTCAGCCTGGCCGCAAGCCTCAGTGGGCCACGTCCCAAGGCACAGCTCCAGGGCCACAGTGCTGGGAGCAGACGGGAACTGCGGCTCACCCCGCCTGCTCCCAGCACAGAGCACAATAGCTCAGTGTAGCCACTCGGCGCCAGGCCCAGGCCAGTGTCTGTCTCACTGCCACGCTGGGACACTGGGAAGCAGATCCGCTGCTCTGCTGTGGGGCACAGCTGGCTGCTCTCAACTGGGCCCTGCTCCTGTAATCAGGACAGCACTTTCCTCCTGGCCCACTGGACACCTTGCTGCCCCCATCCTCCACAGAAAAGCAAAGAACAGTGGGAATGGGGGTTATAGGGCACTGCCAGGCAGCCCCTGGGAAGAGCTGTGGGACCCCAGCATCTCCATGCTGTCTTGGGCCCTCGTGCACTCTCACATGGGCTTGAGGCTCAGCAGGCACAGTGGTGTACTTGCTCCAAGCTGCAACTGAGAGGGCAAGGCTCCCTGCAGAAGCCTGCACCTCCCTCTCCTCCTTCGGACAGACCTAGGTTTTAGCTCACAGGGATACCTTGAGGAGAAAAGTGTGTGTGGGGGGGTAGCTGCTCAGAGCTAAGGTGGGAGAAGGTTCCAAGCCCCTAAGGGGCTGCAAGCACCCTGCAGAAACAGACCTCTCGGGCACCTCTCCTGGGCAAGGCCCGGCCCTTGGCAATGGTTACAGGGCTGGTCACTGAGGCCTTCCTGCTTGGGGGCTGGAGCTCCTGATGCAGGTGGCTCCTCCTCTAGTCGAGCCCAGCTCTGCTCTCCATCTCTTCCCCAATCCAAGCAGGGTCCAAGGCTTGCAGTGTTTTGTCCTCAGCTCAGACACGGCCACTGAGCTTTGAATTCCCCTATCACCTCCTATGCAAAATGCTGCCTGCACATCCAAAATACTCCCTCAACACAGTATTTCAAAATCTTAAGTCATAATCCTTCTCCCCCAAGCCTACTCATTCCCAGCCTGCCCTCAGGGAGTGGGGGAGGGCCGAAGATGGAGGGGCGGTCCCAGTAAAACCTCTCACACCAGCAGGTGCACTTTTCTGTATGAATGTTAGACTTCAACAAAATATTGCTAAGCATGCAAAAAAAAGGAGTGGCCTTGACACTTTCTTTTTCCTTCCACACCATCAGGTCCAGTCCACTCGAAGCTGTTCTACCCACTGGCTCCTGCCCACTTCCTCGGCCATCACTAACCCGCAGCCTCCTTCCAATCCCCTTTGGCTACTCTCTTCCCTGACAACCCCTCACCACACAGGGGCCTGCACTGCCAGGTCTACGTGTCTTTCATGGCTTCCTGTGCCCCAGGAACTGTTACTACTCCTGACAGACTTCCCCTCTCCCTAGCTTGCTGACCCCAGCCCTGTGAACCCCTTGTGTCCCCTGGCCTGGGACACTCTGACCCTGCTCTTCACGTGGCCGGTTCACTCTTTCTCAGAAACTCTACCTGCTGCCCTGCACACTTGTGGGCCTTTGGTATTTGTCCCCGCGCTGCCTGGAGCCCCATGGGGCAGAATTTGTCCTGCTGCATCCCTGTGGCACACCCAGCTCACCACAGGCAACCAGAACCAGCTCAGCGCACATCCGTCTAAGGAATAATAAATAATTCTGGGGGTGAGTCATTAAGTCATTTCTTCAATAGCCCCTCAATATCCAGTGCCCCCAGGGCCTCCACCTTAGCCATCTAGGAAATCCGCAGCCCCAGATCAAGGCCCTGATGATCGAGCCACTTAGCTGCCACATCTGAGCTATAGGTCCAGGAAAGACAGCGCCTGCCAAGCAGACTGCTGTGAACTGTGACACGCTGGCCTCACTGGGGCCCTCACAATGGTCTCTGCCCAACTCCTCTGTGTCCCGAGAGTCACCAGCCCATCTTCATGCTGTCAAGTCTCCAGCACCTGCTCCCACAGTCCCCGTGTCTCCAATGGCAGTGCAGGGGGCATGGCCCACACGTGCATTCCCTTATTCTGTTCCTCGGGCAGGGTGTGGACTCCTCTGGCTCCCCCCTCAGTGTCACACATCCTGTGTCCACCTCGCACGCCATTTGCTCTCTAGACTACATATTCAGGGATGCTGTGAAGGACGGAGCTGTGAATCCTTGCGGGAATGAAGTCCTTCCCAAGTCCTGCACGTCCTGTCCTTCCTCATCCCTGCCCATTACCTCACAAGCATCGTTCTCACATGCTCTCCCTTCCCTCTGGCTGCCCTGCACTTTCCAAGTATCATCCGTGCCTGCCTCCCTTTGTCACGTTTCTCCTAGGGTCGGGGAGGCTTTCCAGGTGGGCCCCTGCCAGCCCTGTGCCGCACACCTCACTCTGCAGTTCTCCAATGACCTTAGGCTCTCTTAAGTCTTGACATCCACAAAAAAGACCTTAAGCCTCTGTGGCTTACAGCCCTCTCCTGAGAGGCAGGCCAGTGCACCTGCCTGGTGAGCCCACTCCTCCCACCTGGGAACCCCAACATGTATCCCAACTGAGCACATCCAAGCACTCAGCAGCCCCACCCTATCCTCAACAGGCACCAGGTCCACTCACTCATCCCGGTGCCACACCTCTGCCCGGTCCTGTCTCACCTGGGGGATTCTGAAGGTCCCGGATCATCCAGACCTTCCCTCTGCCATGTACCAGTTATGCGACCATGAACAGAGGACTTCTCTTCCCTTGGCCTCGGTTTCACTCCCAAGGCTATGCTGGTGGCCAAGTCGGGGGAGAGGACTTCACTCAGCGCCTGACCACTACCCTTCTTACCAAGCCCAGTCACAGCCTGCAGGGAGGGCCTCACTCAGTTTTCCAGCCTACTCTTCCCCAAGCTCCCAACCCGCACTCCACAAGACTATCTGCAACTCCAGATGCCATGTGTGCAGATCACTACACACGGGGCCGCCCCTCCCTGACCACACGGAACCAGAATCATCTAGAATTCCAGGCTTCTACTGTCCTTCCCCTTTCTGTCCTGTATCTGTGGCAAGTCCTCCCTCCTGTAGGAGCTGATATCGGCTCCACTGCCTGTGGCAGTGCGGATTTTGCAGATGTGACCAAGATCTTGTGGTGGGGAGGCTGTTTGGGTGTCTTTTCACGAAAGGGAGGCAGAGGGAGGCTGATGTGAACAGAAGAGAAGGCCACGCAATCAAGGAGCAGAGGCTGGGTTGATGAGGCAGCCACAAGCTGAGGAATGTCAGGGACCCAGGCAGTGGGAAGACAGGAAGGGATTCCTCCTAGAGCCTCCAGAGGGAGAGAGGACCCAGGACACCTGGGTTTGGGCTTACTGGCAATGACACTGGATTCAAGATCTCTAGGACACTGAATTTCTGGTACTGCAAGAGAACAAAAGCGTGCAAAGCTGTAAGTCACCACTGGTGTCATCGCGACGGCACCCTAGGAAAAGACACCTGTCCTCACAGTGTCCTTTGGGCCACCTGACCCTGGACCACCCCATACCACAGTGGTTTGTTCCAAGTCAGACTCTGAACTCCACGCTGAGCTCCTCCAGGGAGGGGCCTCTGCCTCAGCCACTTCAACTACCCAAGAACAAAGACAGGGATACTGTGCTAGTCACTTTCCTATCACTGGACTGAAACACCTAACACCCACAACTAAAAGGAGAAAAGATTTATCTTAGCTCGTGGCTTCTGAAGCTTCAGTTCAAATCTGGCTAGTTCTGAGGCAGAAAGGACACGACGGAAGGGCCTGGGTGGAGGACAGATCCTCGCTCATTCCTTGACAGCCAGGAAGCAGGGTGAGAGAAGGGAGGAGCCAGGGACAAGAACACACCTTTTTAGGTCATGCCCCTAGTGATCTGCCTCTCCTGACCAGGCCCCACCTGCTAGCAGCACTGTAGCTGCGAACACAATGGACTAATCCACTGAGTACAGAGTCCCTGTCACCTCTGAAGGTGAGACCTTAGGAGATATTTTACATCTCACCCATAACAGGCAGGATCACGCAGGACTCAGCTACCTCTACTTAATGGAGAGTGACTGTTTTCACCGCAGCAGGACTCTCACTGCTTTCCGGAAAACTCAGCTCCTTTGGTCTCTGTCCCTCCTTCAGTACCCCCGGAGAGAAAGTTCATTTGTTTCCACAAACACATCCTGGTTTGTCACCTGAATGACCGTAAAGCAAGAGCATGTATTTCCAAACCAGAGGAAAGGGCCCACCTGAGCTTGTCTGCTCCTCTCAGAGAACGAAGCACTTATGTGTCTGCTTGATTATGACAAGGAATCTGTCAAGCTTCCCTGCAGCATCATGTTCTGACTTGACAGACCAGGACAAAGAGGACCGAGAGGCTTTGGTAAGAGGTCACAGGGCCCTGGGTCACCCGAGGGTGACTGGGAGGCCTGAGAACAGCCCTCCAGGCAGGGAAGATGGTTAGCCACGCCCTGCCATGCTGCTTCCTCCTGTGCCAGCCTGCTCCATGTGCAATATCCCCAGAAAGAGCCACCAGGAGTGACAGCTATCTGAAAGCTCTGGCAGAGCTCCCGGTCCTAATTTCTTCTCCCTCTTTTCCACCCCAAAGGGGAAGGGAGCAGCAGCGAGTTCTTGTGCACACCCAGGGGCTGCTCCAGGCTGTTTCTCTATCCTGGCAGTGAGCAGCACCCCACTGTTAAGAGCCAGGGGCTCAGGAACCACCCTCCACCACGCGCCATCCCAAGCCTGAACCGGATTCTCCAAGGCTGAGCAGAGGGAGTAGCTGCACCCACACAGCGCGCAGTCAAGGCCATCCCTCCAGGAGAGGAAAGTGACACGTGGCAGATGAAGCAGGTTTAAAGCAGCTGCCAGGGCAGACTCTACCCTTTCGGGATCCAGGCAGGACTTGGACAAGGAAGGCCCGATTCTCAGTTCTCATTCTCACTCTCTCCTGCAGAGGACCTATCTTGTTTCTCTTCCTGTTTCACACCAGAGAGCAGGCAGGCCTTGGCTGCCTACCACCAAGGTTTACTGCGTGCGGAACAGTCAGGGGCACGGCTTGCTAACCTGCAGACTCTTCAGCAGAAACCAAAGTGGCGAAGGACGTCAGGTCTCAGAGAAAGGAACATGTGGGGATGCTTGCTATGGGCTGGGATCCCTGCTTTTGCTTACTAAGGTCCCTATTGCACTTGAAAATTTAGAAGGAAGCAAGGGAAAAAAATCGTGCTTTACGGATTACTGAGAACACACCTCCTCCCTTTCACCTCCCTCTTAACAGGCCATGACGTGCTACCTGATGTCTGCAGACACCCTCCTCGCCTTGTCCTGTACACAATTGAGTCAATTTAAAACACAGCTCAGGATGACTTATTCTTCAGCCTCAACTACTCATGAGGAGCATGTTAGTTTCAATTGCTGTTGTAACTAATTACTACAGAGCAGGTGGCTTATCCACCGCAAACCGCCATTTCACAGGCCTGTGGGACAAAAGTCTGTCATGGGTCTCGCTGGACTATAATCAAGGGCTGGTTCCTTCCCAGGCTCTTGGGGATGGTCCACTTGCTGGCCTTTTCCAGCTTCCACAGGCTGTCTACGTTCCTAGCCTTGGAGTCCCTTCCGCACCATCAAGGCCAGCTGTGTGTGGCATCTCCTGGTGCCTTCCTGCCGTCACTTCCCTCACTCTTCTCCTGCCTCCCCTCTTCCACTCTTAAGGACCCTGAGATCATGCTGGACCCAAGGAGAAAATGCAAGATGATCTCTCCCTTTTTAAGTCGGAGGTTAGCAATTTCAATTCCCCTTTGCCTTCTACTGTACAAATTCACAGGTTCCTTAGGGTTAGGGCGCTGCCTCAGGGCCACTCCAGTTCACATCAAACCTTTTTTTTTTTTTTAAATAGGATGGGCAACACAGCTTCAGAATCCTCTACAGCTCAAATTTGCTGTACCATAGCATGGCTGTCTGCTTACTTTGTACCACTTGATGTTATTGTTGGAGGAATTTTACCAAGAGTCATCTTCCTATTTGAAAGTGACACCCCAAACAATACCACGCTACATTTTTTCAGCGTGCCTGAAAATACAGGGGTGCAACAACCCTCTGACAGACCCACACCACAGCTCACTTCCAGACAGCGCAGCTGGACCTGCACGCAGGAACCCACCCGCTCATCTCCTGCTCCCCTCAGTGTGGGGGCCTGAGACACAAAGCAAGAACCTCCGGCCCTTCCCACAGCCCCGGGCACACACTAACCCCACTTTATCACACTACCCTGCCTGGCGCCTGGTATCAGCTCTGTGCTCACTGCTAGAGGCACGATACCCATGTGCACATGGGCGAACAGGAGCTGTGGACTCCACTTAACTCCTGGGCTTCTTGTAGACATAACAAGGAGGATTCAGAGGAAATGCAGGTGCGAAAAGGACCATCTTCCCAGATTTCCCCATTATCAGAATTTTTTCTAAATCAATCAGCTTGACATAATGAAAAGGAAAATCAATATAAAAGTTTTTAATCAGTCTGGAAGTTTTAAATTCCCATTATGTTGGCATTTAATATGAAATCTCAATTGCTCAGGGTGCACCAAAGGGAACAGAACCAACCGTCCTCTGGGTTTTGTTCCCAGCATCACGGCACCACTCCACAAACAGGAAAGAGAAACAACTTTCTTGTTACACCACTGGTCCATGTCAGGACTCCAGACAACAGTCCCAGATCCCAGCTCTTCTCTTGAAAGAGCAAATGCTACAGCACATCTGCCCTGTACAGCTGCCACGGATTATGATGTTACTCCTCGGCAAACTCCTAGACTCACACAACAGGGGCACTCTGTACCCAAGGGAGCCTGCA